AAAATTTCAAAACAGGAACTATTTGTGGATATACGGGACCTTGAGAATAACTTTACCTTTACTTTTCAGAAATCCATGTACATTTTGAAATTATGATTATATTAAAAGTTGTAGATCTTGAAAAGTTATGCGGAATAAAAAAAATTCATGACATTCGGATTTTGGAGCACAAAGTTATGGCCGCCCAAAGTTTGACGAAATAAAAAAAAAGGTCGTTCGGGGTGGCAAATGACGTTTTTTCGAGACGAAGACGGAACCCGACTGTTTGAGACTTGCAAGATCTCAAAAAGTTATTCGGATTCAAAAAATGGAGGCCGCAAACTTTTTGAGATCTTGCAAACCGCAAACCGCCGGGTCTCGCCTTTCGTCAAACTTTGGGCGGCCATAACTTTGTGCTCCAAACTCCGAATGTTATGAAATTTTTTTTGATTCCGCATAACTTTTCAAGGTCTACAACTTTTAATATAATAATAATTTCAAAATGTACATGAATTTCTGAAAAGTAAAGGTAAAGTTATTCTCAAGGTCCCGTATATCCACAAATAGTTCCTGTTTTGAAAATTTCATCCTAGTAAAAGTTGTAGATCTTGAAAAGTTATGCGAAATGAAAAAAAAATCACTACGATCGGATACCCGAGTGCAACGTTACGTTCGTTTGAAGTTTCGACCGAACTTTTGGACCAAACCGCTGGTTGGGGTGGCGGTTTTGGGCCAAACCGCCACCCCACCCAGCGGTTTTGGTCCAAAATTTTTTTTTTATAACCGCCCCCTAGGCCCGCGTTTTGGTCCAAAACCGCGCCCCCGACAAGCGGTTTTCGACCAAACCGCTGGGTGGGGTGGCGATTTTTTAAAAAGGGTGGTATTTTTGGAATTTTTTGGGGTTGGGTGGTATTTTTGGAAAAAAAAATTTAAACAGTGGTACTTTTGGATTTTTTCCCACAGCAATGGAGCACGCAATCGAAAAGATTCATTTGCATGAGCATCATATGTAAGAACCCCATCATGCCACAACTCATTCAACTGTTCTATAACGGGTTCTAGATAGACATGAATGTTATTCCCGGGGTATTCGGGACCAGGAATCAGGACACTAAGGGAAAAAAGGGTCGGTCATACATAACCAAGGAGGTAAGTTGTACGGGGTTAAGACAACAGGCCACATACTGTAGCTGTTGCTCATGTTACCGAATGGGTTAAACACATCACTAAGCAGCGCTAGTCTGACATTCCTGGGATCCGCAGCAAACCAAGGGTGATCCCGATCAAAATCCTTCCACGTTTTACCATCAGCTGGATGCCTAAGCATATCATCATCAACACGTTTATCCTTGTGCCACCGCATATCTTTTGCTAGATCTTTGGTAGTGAACAACCGCTGCAACCTATCCTTAATGGGGAAATATCTAGCTCTCTTTAAGGCAACATCTTTCTGTTTACCCGATTTAAACCTAGGTTCTTTACATTTTGGACATTCTCGAGCAGCTTCAAGCTGCCCCCTATACAAAACACAGTTATTGGGACATGCATCGATGATGGTGTAACCAAATCCAAGATCACGCATATACTTCTTCACCTCATAGAACGAAGTGGGAAGTGTTTCCCCATTCGGTAAACCTTCCTTGATTAATTCAAGATATTGGTTGAATGCTTTATCACTACTGTTTGTCTGTATCTTGATGTTCATCATTTTCATAACATAGGACAGTTTTGAAATTTTTTTGCAATCAGGGTAAAGAGGGCAATTGGCATCTTTCAGGAGCCTTGCCAATGCACCATTATTATTAGGACCGTGGGAAGGTTCAGCGGTTGTTAGACACTCATTCGCCCTACCAAAATCACCCAACATTTCAGACATGTCGGTCTGTAACCCACTCTCTTCATTATGAACATCGTCAGACTCAGTCGGTGGGTTTTCACCGTTACTACTAACACCATAAGACTCACCATGATGGACCCACGTTTTATATGTCTCGACCATACCATGCTTAAATATGTCTCCCCGCACCTGGACTAATGTCTTAAGGTAAAGATTATTGCAGTTCTTGCACGGACATCTAACCCTACCAATTGCATCAACATGCTTAGAAGCAACTTCCATGAACTCATTAACACCCAACTCATAATCAGCACACCAATGATCTTTGAGCAATATCCACTCATGACTCATTACGCGTTAAGGTATAACTGACCTTTGATTGCAGTCTGTAACTTGACGCAGCAGGTTGTAATCGACCAAAGAGACAAATAACCTGCATGTAGCATTAAACTTTGAAATCAGTTCAAAGTAGCTCAAATATAGTAAACAAATTATGCTTTTTTGAACTTAGAAAGGAGATAAACAGTACACCAGAGAGATAGTCATCTTAGTTAAACCCAAACAGCATGCTGCTTCAAATCATACGCGTTTCAGAATCAACCAGATCAAGGGAAGTCATCAGAATTACTAATTCAACATTTGGGTAGCTGAGGTTATCATCAGAAGGACTAATCTTTTCAATCATGTTTCAGTCATCTTAGTTAAACCCAAACAGCATGGCACATTGGCGTTTCAGAAACAAAAACCATCCCCATCAAAAACCACTTTTCACAAATGTCGCCTTCATCCAATCCATTGCATCAAATTCACTCATCTCGCGTACCAGATACAAAAATTTCCTAACAGCTATCTATGTAAGCCAATCCATACACTGGGCTTACACAAAATCGAAGGCCAGACTTACTCGGTTTATCGACGGAGGGAACTCGCGGCAGGGAAGGCAGGCCGTCGAAGCAAAGGAGGGCAACTTGGTTAATCGGAGACTGTTGATTCAGAGGGAAAGCCCTACCCCCTGTGCAAGAGCACCTATGAAGGACAGAGATAGAAGAAGAAACATGAGGAACCCAACTCTGCTTTTATCGGAATCAGGTATCCACCATGCAAATCAAAACCAAAATCGCAGAGGAAAAGGAGTCCAGGGCGAGGAGACGAACGAGACTTACCGGACAATCGATTCGCGGGGAGGAGAACGTACCCAGACGAATCGCTGAAGAGGATGTGGGGAGAGGGGTTTCGACTTTGCAATTCGCAGTGGAGATGGAATTGAGGTTTCTGTTCTTGGAGCTGAAGGGTTAGAGAGGCGGGTTGGGGTTTTTTTTCGTCTTGGAGGGAAGGGGAATAATAGTCCCGCCGAATGGAATTCTGGACGAAAAATAGAAATTCTAAAAAAATATATTAATGAAAAAGTTTATTTCATTCTGCATACCATATTATGACAAATTATATTATCATATCTTAGGATTTCTTGAACATAATGTGACAAACCATAAGGTGACGGGGTGTTTTGTCATTCTGTAGCAGTATTTGCGCGGTAAATAAGACATATAGTGACAAAATTATAATGACAACAAAAACTTTGTCACAATGTAACTCTATTATGACAACTTTGAATGACAAATATAACTTTTGTCACATATAGTCAATTAAATGTGACAAGTCTTTTTTTTGTCATATTTAGTTGCCTAATATGACAAATATTTTATGACAACAAAATTAATTTGTCACTTAAGGTCAAATTTCTTGTAGTGAAAGATAGCGTTGCTCGCTCTTTCAATCAAGTCACCGTCGCTCGAATCACAAGCTTCTTCTCCACTTTCGATCGACAGCTCAACCCTAAAGTTCAAAACAGCAGAGAAGGAAATGAGAAGAAAAGTGAAGACGATAGGAAAAGGTGAAGGGACCAGGGGCACGTTTGGGTTTACAAAGAAAGGATAGGGACTGGATGGGGAAAAAAATGGAATAAACGAGGCAATTGAATTGTCTCCCCCCCCCCCCCCCAAGTATTTCTAATTGCTCCAAAATGAGCCAATCTTGAATTGACCTGGGCCCAATTACACCATTCATTTTTTGTGCTGCCAAATGAGCTAATGTGACCCAAATGCTTCATTTTGAGCCAATTGAGTCCAATTGACTCACTAGATTATACCATCCAAACGACCCCCTAACCTCCCCTCCTTTCCCCCGAACATAGTGTAATAAAACCGACTTCCATTGTTGATCATTGAAAAGGGACCAGAAGTCCCAAAACACACACCGACTCACAGTCCCTCGTCTCGTGGAATGGAACGAAATGAATCCGCCTTCCTCTTTGACCCACTACACGACAAACACGAGAAATTTTACAATGCTATATAGTATTGGTGCTATAGGTTTTTGCCTTTATGGTACAAGTTCAAATTGTACATTTACGTTATGGTACAACTTCAGATTGTACCTATACTTTTTGTACAAATTCTTTTATGGTACAACTTGAACTTGTACCTTTATGTGATGGTACAACTTCAAGTTGTAAAGTTGTACCATAACATAATGGTACAAATTGCTTTATGGTACAACCTAAACTTATACATTTAATGTTATGGTACAACTTTGAGTTGTACCTTAAAGCACCAATGCTATATAGCATAGTAGAAGTGCTCAACAAACACACGGCTCTCACGTTGGTCTGAAAACGGCAACTACACCGCAGAAATGCCATTGTCGTATTGACTAAAAATATGAATTGAAAATCAGTGAGAGGCGTCGACGACAAGCCAACAGTTTTAAGGAAAACATACTTAACACCACCAATTCACCTTTCATTAACACTACGCAATGACTCTCAAATCTCAATGGCCAAGATGAACTCTGTTTCTTATTTGTTGAATCATCATTTGATATTTTTACCTGAACCTCTGTTTTCATAAGTTCCCCGGTTTCCCTGCCGCCGGTGATCGGAGTTTGGGATTCGTTCACTTTATTGAGCACAGTGGTCTCAGACTCAGTCACTCCTCTCTAGTCTCTGTTTTCCTAGTTGGCGCTGAGATTGGGTCTAATCATTGAGCTTTCTTTGGTTAATGTGCGGGCATACGGTAGGTGAGTTGAAAATAAGTAAAAAAGGAGGTGGAAAAGGAAAGATAAATGGGAAAATGGAAACTTATTAGATAAGAATAATATCGGAGAAGCCAGATTCATTGACTGGTAGCTGAGAGAGAGGAAACAGAGAGCGCTAGAGAGAGAGAGATAGCAAAGCCAAAGAACACGAAACCCTAGAAAGAAGTGGGCAAGCAAGTCCAAGGAAGAAGAAAATTTGGGGAAGAAGCCAAAACCCATCAGCCAGAAAGTTCCTTTTGAGAATTCCCTGAAGAAATAATTTTGGGGTCGTTTGGAAGTTGCGTATGTTAAATCGTTGTATTGTTATGAATCACTATGATATAAATGCATGTATTGATACAATAGATGCATTTTGAAATTACATTGTTTGGTTGTTGAGATTATAATTTATGAATTGATTGTTATAAAGTTACTTTATAAGGAAATGTCATATTTGTCCTCCACTTTTAATATAAAACAAAAAGAACTATGGACATAATTGGAAAAAGTAAATGTGCTCAATTATTAAACCAACAATCACAACAATCTCAACTAAAAGTTGAGATTGTACAATCCCTCATTTTTGTTGATTTTTGGTGGGACCCACACAAAACAATACATGCATTATTTTGCAACTTGACACTTCCAAACGTTGTATTGTGGACAATGCATGTATTTAACAAATACAATACTAACAATCGCAACTTCCAAACGACCCCTTTGTTCCCACGAAGTTGCTCTCATCAGAGATTTCTCCTTCGCTTTCCATTTTCACCCCTTCCCCCCAACCCCTGTTCTATCTTTGCTCCCAACACACAATCCCTTTTCTTTATTTTATTAGTAAAGCTTCCATCTTTTCCCCTTTTCCCAATTTCCCCCACTCGCCTCTTCAATCTATATACTTATCGCCATGCCGGCCGATTTGGATAACTCCTCCACCGCTTCAGGGGAAGTCAGCGGCTCTTCCTCCGGCGGAAACAACCCTTCTCAACCGCTGCAGTCCACCGCCGCCACCCCCAAGAAGAAGCGGAACCTCCCCGGGATGCCAGGTCTCCAGTTAGATCAAAATCGATTTCAAGAATTTCTGGGTGGATGAATGAGAATCTTCTGTAAGTAATCGGATTTTGGTTTTTTTTTTTGTTTTCTCTTCCTTTCTCTGCAGATCCAGCTGCTGAAGTGATTGCTCTGTCCCCGAAGACTCTAATGGCGACGAACCGATTCGTGTGCGAAATATGCAACAAAGGGTTCCAGAGAGACCAGAACTTGCAGCTTCACCGGCGAGGCCATAATCTGCCGTGGAAGCTCAGGCAGAGATCGGGGAAAGACGTGAAGAAGAGGGTCTACGTTTGTCCCGAAGTGAGCTGCGTCCACCACGATCCGTCGCGGGCGCTGGGCGATCTCACCGGGATTAAGAAGCATTTCTGCAGGAAGCACGGCGAGAAGAAGTGGAAGTGCGATAAGTGCTCCAAGAAGTACGCCGTTCAGTCCGATTGGAAGGCTCACTCTAAGATTTGCGGCACCCGGGAGTACAAATGCGATTGCGGGACTCTGTTTTCCAGGTTCCCCATCTATGAAGGATTTGATTTCACTTCTTGCTCGTTTTCGACGACTTAGTCTCTCTCTATTTTCCCATTTTTGTCACTGAAATTGTTGTTTTGGATTTGAAGGAGGGATAGCTTTATCACCCACAGAGCATTCTGCGACGCTTTGGCAGAGGAAAGTGGCAGAGCTCATCCCCGTCACCCAACGCCACCTCCGCCTTCGAATCGGAGCACTGGACCCGACCCGACAGCTATTGTTGATTCAGCTCCGCCGCCGGCGCCTCCAGCTCCTCCTCCATCGCAGTCATCAGCTCCTTCACCTTCAGTGTCGCCGATTCATAGTCCAGGTAAACACTAACCCTCCAAATTCAGAAACTTTTTCAATTTCCCGTTTGTTTTTTGTCGGTTGCGTTTTTTGTCCTTAATTATAAAGGACCAAATCTTTCAGTCTGTTTTGTTTTTGTCTTCCCCTCCTTTCACTTTCAAGTAGAGATCTTTGGAGTGCAGTAGTTCTTTTGTCTGTTTCCACCAAAACAAAACAAGCAAAGCAAGAAACTCTTCAAATTGGGATCTTTCCACCAAAACAAAACTAAGGACCCTGTGGTTTTTGGAAATGCAGAGTTGATAGAAACTCAAGATCCCGCGCCAATCATGGAAGAACCATTAGCTCCGGCTGCAACGGTGAATGCAAGCTGCAGTAGCAGCAGCACCATCTCGAGCAGCAATGGCAGCACTACTAGCACCGTCTTCGCCAGTCTATTCGCCTCCTCAACAACTGCATCCGAAACAACCCCTCCGCCTCAGCCTCAGCAGGAGACTCACTCGTTCACCGACTTGATTCGAGCAATGGCATCGCACCCTGACCACACTCACACCACAGTCGAACTCGCTCCACCACCAACCGAACCAATTTCACTATGTCTGTCCACGAGTCATGGCTCGTCGATATTCGGGCAGGAGAGACACTATGCTCCACAACCACCGTCAATGTCAGCCACCGCATTGCTTCAGAAGGCCGCTCAAATGGGATCTTCTGCCACGAACGCATCGTTGCTCCGCGGTTTAGGGATAGTCTCCTCTGCTTCCTCTTCCTTGTCTTCGTCGTCGTCTTCTTCCTCAGCACAGCTTGATATTTGGGGCCAGAGACACATGGAGGCAGATAATTCTTCTGTTCATCATCATCATCAGCATCCAGTGCTTGGACTTGGATTACTGCCTTGTGATGGAGGGTCCGGGTTGAAGGAGCTGATGATGGGAAGTACTTCTTCTTCTGTGTTTGGTCCTAAACATGCCACACTCGACTTCCTCGGACTAGGAATGGCAGCTGTCGGTGCTGGCCCGAGTAGCAGCGGGCTCTCGGCTCTGATTACTTCGATCGGCGGGGGGCTTGATGTAGCTGCTTCTTTTGGAGCCGGAGAATTTAGTGGCAAAGACATTGGTAGTAGCTCGTGAGACTAGAAGGACAAGTCTTTCCCCCCTGTTTTTTGTGTTAGAGATTAGAGAAACTCTCTCCAAGATGCATATTGTACAGCACTATATAATATATATCAGTATTAGGGGCAAGCCAATCCAAACATAAGATCAAAATGCTTTGTTTTTGGATGAGAATTTGTTCTGAATGAAGACCAGCAGCTTGATTTTTCCTTTTGATGTGCCTTTAAGAGGCCGTTGAGAGGATACAAGTGTGGTTTTGTGCCTTGATAGAAATGTGATTCGTGGAATCGTGGTGTATTCTGGGTTCTAATCCTTGATAGTTTGTCCTGTTGTCCACATTACATGGACATGCTCAACCTGCACAAATTTGGGTTCTAATCCTTGATAGTTGGCCTATCTACCCACATTTCTAAAGGAGGACAAACAACAACATGGTCAGGATGGTTAATGGCGGTTCCATTTGTCTTTTTACTACATACACAGTAATCAAACATGCTACTATGTTTTACAATGGTTATGCATATCATGACAAAATAAGTCCTTTTATCGTTCGTTTAATTTATAGTTGACTATAATTCGTCCGTTCTTTTTGTGTGTGATTTGACCTGCAATTTTTTTGTATTTTCTATTATCGGGTTATTCCTTTCCGGATATGTATGACAACAAAAGCATGCTACTATAGGTGATCTTATCAAAATTGTTAAGCATATTTGAACCTAGTTTCAACCATCCTAAAATACCGTAGCATTAAAATTCAAATGTAGTTTGTTTGTCATTAACATAAATCTAGGAGTTGTTTGGATGAACTAATTGTACATGTGGTATTTGAAGACTCGAATAACTTAATAAATTGTTCATGTGGTATTTCTGTGGTAACTTGATAAAAATATATCTTTTAGTTGAGCCATTCACATGTTGTATTTGTCAATGACAAAGGGGTAAAACGAGTTGTTTCTAAATAACACCGAGGGTAGGAGTTATTTCAAATAATTCACGACTCAAATAGCGTATCTTAGTTAAGTGTTGCCAAACGACACAAATAACTCACCAAAAGTCCGATCCCGGGAATGTTTGCCACCCAGTTCGAGCAACTAAATTCATTTTTTAACCTATGATCGTATAGCTGATGACGCCAATGGCGGAGCATGAATTTTTCTTACTATACAATTTGTATCTGAGGCTAAAAGTTCGTCCTCCTGCACGTTTTCACATTGCGTCTCGATTTGTCTATTTAGGAGTTTATATGACTAAACCAATCAATGAAACATATGTCTATCAACATTTTAATAAGCTGGGATCATGAATCTCATTTATTGTACAATTGTACTCGAGACTAAAAGTTCGTCCTCCCTTACGTTTTCAAATTATTACATGATTCCTACCGTGTGATACAGTGCCACGCGTCGTGCATTGAGCCATTCAACAACCATTCGTGTAGTTGAGTATCCACCAATCACTTAGCTCCACCTCAAACAACATGGATCACTTCTCCCTCCGACGATCTACAGGTGCCTCACGCCTTACTCCAACAAACGATTACACAGTTTCGCGTGTGTATCGAGCGAACATCCCAAACTTCAGTATTTTGGATTTTTTTTTTTTTGCCAAGTGTTGTAATGAGGAAATAAAGCAAGGAAAAGTAAAGTAAGAAGAGTAAAGTTGTTTATGGTTTTCGATAGATAGATGCATAAAAGTAATGATATGTTATTCTATAAGAGAGTGAATCTCGAATAACATCATGCGCTCAATCACATCATGTACCAATGACTCATCTATAACATCACTCTATCCTTTCCACTAAGGCCATTCTATACCCTTGCATGCGCCTTTTGCGATGGAGATTTAACTAGCTAATGCATGCTTTTGTTTCATGTCATTACCTAATTAATGAAGAACAAGGAAGTTAGGATAGCACATGACTAAGTGTGGACCTCTTAAACCATAATCAATGGTCTATATCATCAATAATATAACAATCAAAGATTGATACTAATCGAGGCATAGATGGTTGACCATTCCCTCTATACTCGTGTAACATTAGTGGGGTACCACTAGAAGGTAATTTCTTAACAATCTAGATGATACTAAGCACAATGCATATAGTAGCATACTATGGAATCATAAGCATCGATGATAAAGAGCATTGAACTTGATGAGCATCAAAACCATACACATAGGCATCAAACATAAAACATCCATGCACATATATAGGGAAATGAAAATTACGAGCATCAACACAAGCACAACAATACATACAATGATAAACGGGTTCACATGCATACAATCAATTTCAAACTAGCAACATAGAATAGAAGAAAGGTATCACCATTGATGATGAAAGAATCTCCTATTTGCACCCTCTCATACGAAAGCTAAATTAGTACTCGAGCATAATATAAAGAAGTTTGAATGTAGTTGTGCAACCTACTGAACTAATGACTATAGCCTCCTAATTAAAAAAAGGAAACCAAACTGATTTCAGAGCCCTATACTAAAATTTGAAAAAGTGAAAGCAAGGAAATAAAAATATAGTTGTTGTTGATTTTGTGGGTTGACATTTTGCGGCTACTTGAACAAGTTCTTGGATCATCTTATATATTTATAAACTCATGGAAAGTTCGAATCACTTGCAAAGTGAGATTTTTCGGTAAGATCCATCATTAAAATAGTGAATCTCATTATTTTAAAGAAGTTATATATGTCCGGCCGAGGCATTATTTGCTTGTTAAGTAAGTGATGGAGGGGAGGTGATGAGAACCCTTAATAAGGATTTGCCAAACAAAATTGAGAGGTTTAATAAAAGGGTTTTTATTGGATTAGGTGATCTGCTTTGCTTGTGAAAAGAAAGAGGAGGGAAAACAAAATTGAGAGTTTACTGTGGCATAAAATATTACATTTTGATATCTCAAATTTAATTAAATCACAACTTAGTTATTATAATGTACATTTTACATTTTGATATCCCAAACTCAAATTTAATTAACTTAAAATTGATACTTCAAATTTAACTAAATCACAACTAAGTCGCTATAATGTACATTTTACATTTTGATACCCCTAAACCAAATTTATTAAATTACAACTTAGTCACCATAATGTACATTTTATTCAATTTGATACTCAAATTTGATAATTTACAACTTAGTCACTATAAGTATACTGTACATTTTACATTGTGATACCCCAAACCCAAACCCAAATTTAAATAAATTAAAACTTAGTCACTATAATGTATATTTCACATTTTGATACCCCACCTAAAAGAATTGGTCAACACCCTTCCATTATCTACTTCCTCTTTGTTTCATTTTTCACTCACCTTCCATAACCCTTTATTTATTTCTTTCTTTGCCTTATTCGTCTAACCCTAATTAGTATACTATTTATATGTATTCTAATCACAAGTATGAACGAGTCCATACACGACTGACCAACAATATAGAGAATTAATAATTGAACCATGAACCACTAACTTTTTCAGCTCAATGTCGAGTCCAATTAAAAATAAATATATATGGTTATTACTTATTAGAAAGTCGTCATTCTTCACTATGAGATTTGAAGGCGTGAAATTTTAAGCGAGTTCCAGTTTGTATTCCTTTTGCTTCACTCTAGTGTTTTTTTTACCCGTGTTAGATTTTTAAAAAATTATACCTGAAATTTTCAACAATTATATATATAAAATAAATAGTTTCCTATTTTCTATCAAAAAGTAAATAATTATCATATTAAATACATCACCATAAAATGAATCAAGCCTCAACTATGCAAATTACAGTTCGGTACCTAGATCTTTAGATTTATAACCTAAATTTAGTATTTTGGCATACAAGTCCACAAAATATTGATGAAACATTATATTTTAGTACCTAAATTTTTTTGTATTACATTTTAGTACCTAAACTTTTGAAGTTCTATAAATAGGTCTAATTTTTGTTTGTGTAATTAAATACCCTCGAATAAATGGGTGTCCATACCCAACTCATACACATTTAGATTATGAAAAAAATATTCATACCCTACCCAAACCCATCTACAAACTTCCAAATCAATATATATGTCACCCATACCCTACCCATAATCAATTGGTCTACTTGGGTTTAGGTGAATATCATTTATTAGTCAAATTTTTTTAAAAAAAATTAAATTGGATGTTGACCGTCATATATCTTTTCTCAGTCAATATCATATTGTCAAGTCAATATTACTTACAAAACTACTTACAAAAATTAATTTTAGACTAATAATACTAACAAAATACTATAACTGCCCACATAATTCATGCACATAGGCCATCTCTGCTCGCAGCAAGGCGCGACATCGCCACCTAGTAGTTTTATAAATAATGTGCATTATGGGGATGAGTTGACCATTGGAGTTGTCGGGACCCTGTCTTTCATTGCCACCATTTCTTAATGAATTAGTTTAATTGTTTAAACAAACCAGTTCAAAGCGCAGGCTGAAAAGAGAACAGGAAACCACATATAATAATAATAGTTTACATTTAAAACTAGTTATCGATAGCATTAGAGTGGATGCATGCATCCACTTGTATCAATCATGTGTTCTACGATGTCCTTAATTGTAAAACTTGATACGCAGAAAAGAAATAACACGAGACGCAGACGTGGTTTGTATCGCTCAGTATGATCGAGACTATTCCACGGAAAGCGTAAGTTCTCAGGTTCTGTTATTAGCTGCAGTTTGTCTACTGCCAGCGGCTACACTCAGCTGAAGCTAAAAACCTACCTTAAATTAGGGGTGGGCATTCGGTCGGTTCGGTTTTTCACACAAAACCGAATTTGTTAAGCTACTTGTATCTTTTAACTTTTAAATTATTTTTTACCCCTAATATAAACAATAAATATGCAATTATATGCATTATCAATGATAAAATCAAACTTGTCAACACATAAGTCATACAAATTTTCAAATATTTAAGTCTAAAAACAACTACAAACATAAAAATCCACTATTTGGAGCTTGCAATTATAGTATTTTGGTTTTTCGGTCAGAAATTCGGTTCGGTTGAAAGAACCCTGGTTTCCGAACTATCCATATTTTCCTTCCGAATTCCGAACCGAATAATATTAATTCGGTTTCAGTTCGATTTAATTCGGTTCGGTTTGGGTTTACCGAGCCGGTTGCCCACCCCTACCTTAAATACTCCACTCAAGTAGTACGGTTAGGCAAGGTAAAATACAAATTTAGTCCTCCAACTATGATAAGTGTACAAGAGAGTATCACACGGTTCTACACTCCCCCTCAAGCTGGAGCGTGCAGATCTCGAACGCCCAGCTTGGAAAGTAACGTGTGAAACTGATCGGCCCCTAAAGCTTTAGTGAAAATATCTGCAG